TCATTTTCTCTTTCTCCATACTTTTAGTATGAATATTTGGATAATGATCGTGATGATATAAATGTTCATGATCTTTTTTTTATAAGTGAAAATTAAGACGTATATTTCCTTTTTCAATTTTTATACTTTTTTTTTGGAAATGTTGGTCAATTATTTCTTTGGCAACAAGTTGTTCAAGGTATCTCGAATTAAATAAGCATAAGGTATGCATATAATTGGCAACATAGGATTTCGCTTGATCTATATGGATTTCATGCTTTCAGTAGAAACAGATCACTAATTGTTAAATCTTATTTTATAATATTGTCTCATGCATTTTCAAGTGTTATTTGATACCTTCTGTTTGTATATTTGCATTTCATATATAGTATCTGGAATATCGAATATTGCTGACATCTATTATCAAAGAGTTATTTATCTTCCTTTCTAGAAAAATATAATTATGCGAAAAACTGACTTCTTGCGAAGACATTGTTCATTTCAGCATTATTTTAGCTCAACTAAGGTCAAAATTCTTTCGTTAATGATGTCTGTTTGACTTTCCACTTCCATTTAAATGGCTGATGAAAAAACGCATTAACATTTTATAATATGTAATGAATTTCTGACTGTTAGCTTATTAATCACCTATCGCAATCAAGCTTTCACTATCAACCTTCACTTGTGCATCACATATTTAAAAAGAAAATGAGATGATATTGAGAAAAGTAGCTGATGGAAATTTAAAAAAAAGACGAAAAAAACCAAATGGCATTCAAAAGGAAGAAAATAAATAATCATAATAACATATAATTCCATCTTTTTTCTCGAGATTTTAGAAATCATCTTTTAAAAATGAGTAATATGTATGTAAAATTATGCGATCATGACAAATATGGAATTCACTTCTTTTTTCTCTTATTGATCAAATGTTAGATGATTGAAAAGAATAACAGTTCACGGACAAAAAAATCTCTCAGCACTACACGTCGGTTTCAACTAATCAGAAAGAATTAAGCTGAACAACACTTCAAATGTCATACTTGAAAGGAAAATAAAAAATGTTACGTAGGCTCTACTGCACAGTATATTGCACTCTCTTCAGATATGACCGTCAATTAGATGGAGATATATAATAAAATTAAAGCAGAAGAAAATATTGTAGATGAGAAAATCAGTCGGATGCAATGATAGCAATCAGTTTCATATATCAACATGAATCATACATAGATAATTCCCATTGTTTCATTAAATTAAATAAGCTAGAGAAGAAAACAGACAAGCGGAGATATTATATTATAATATATCATAATTAATTTTGAAAGAAATATGAAACTTTTTTCTTAACCAAAAAAATTCAAACATGGTTTTAATTTAATTCATCGTAAATATGCAAACAATCTACTTGAAGAAATTAAGAGCTACGAAAGAGAACTTGAAAGCATAGGTAAAAACATAATAGTAAAATCAAAAAAAAAAAATCGGTAACTCCAACTTATTTTACTAATAATTTATTTCATCATCACTCCTGAAATAAAATGGATTTTTGATTAATTGATCAATACTGAAGACTACACAGTTGATATTTAAAGTGAGATTTGGAAATGAAAAAACCTGAGAATTTTCACATTAATGATAAATTTCAATGAAATGATACAACTTCCAGTCCTTTCATATTCATCGTAAATTCTCATTCCAAACTTGAAGTTAATTTTTTAACAGCAAATAATTTCAAATATTTTAGCGTATAAAATACGACTGAAACTAAACAATGAATGTATAGCACGATATCTGATGAATTACCCGCATCAATCAATTATGATCCTCCACTAATACACATGACAACAAATTTCTTACTTGTTGAATAACTCACATTATCAATCTCAGTAGTAAATGCAATGAGTCCGACGACTGATACAGTCAAGTACTTATATCGTATCGGAATTTGCTTACAACCTTTCACGCTATCGTATCCTATCTCTTACACTAGTAAGGAAAAAATTGAATAGGTATAAAAATTGTAAGCATTTAACTCAAATTTCAAAATGACAAAATCGACAAATAAAAAATTTCACCCGAAATTTCTGAAATTGCTCAAATCTCAAACGACGATAGCCGAAAGTAAACCCAAAAAGTAAAAACTTCGTTGTCATTGTTCGATGTTCGGCGGATGCGCAATGTTCAAACCATTTCGCTATTTATCTGACTGCCTGCTGCTCTCTAATAAACAAAACTTTTTTTTTTGTTCTAACTATCTCGAACATTCTATTTTAGCGTTATTGTTGGGTCAGTGTGGGTGACATTTTGTGTTGTTGTTGGGACGGTCACTTCACCTGAACAGGTAAATTTCCGGTTCTCAACCAGAAACGTTTCTGCCGGATCGTGGCGATAGTATTACAGTGAATGAGGTATGACTTGTTAGAGTGGGTAACTGTAGCATACATTATGAACAATTATGAACACTCTTTGGTGTTTTTTTCCGAGCTGATATCCCCAAATCACGTAACTTCATACTTTACGGATTAAAAATTGCACGAGAATTTAGGGTTGTTGTGTAGCAAAATTTTACGTGATCAGATTTTACTTTCACTTTTATTTTCATTTTACAGTTGTTACTTACAGGTAAATATAATTGCTAGAAATGGCGAAGAGTATTCGGTCAAAATCAAAACGACGGGTACGTGCTATTAAACGTGAACGACTTGCACCACGTGTATTAAAACGTTTGCAGACAACTGTCTCAAATCTTGATTGCAACAAAATAAAAATGGAAATTGATAAATCTGGTAATTTTTTCCATTTGTTTTTTAAAGTCTTTTTTATAAGCGTTAGAGGTGACGATTAGACTAAAGACGAATAGCTTTATACAGATGGCTTTCAATAATTCTTACTTAATTTCGGTAATACTGAGGATGTTGAAAATCTGATTGGATAGGATCTAGATTGAAACTCATTTGTTTGTTTTTGCTGTTGAGTTACTTTAATTCGAGTTTGTATATTTGTTATATTTTCCATAATTCTTATTTCAATAATATAGTTTTTTAGATATACTAGTAAATTCAGATATACTAGTTATGAATGAATGATATAATACTTTTTCCCAATTATCATTCACTTACTGCAGATTTAACAGCTGATTCCGATATCCAGTTTTCAAAGGTGAGTTATCTTCGATACAAAAAATTTATTGAAATTAAAAAAAAATGGCATTCTGTATCTTTTCCTCTCACAAGGAAGGAGAGCAATTATGCTGTCCGTTTTTGACTTTGAAGTGATTGAGAATTTATTTTGTATAGGAATATTTAAATGTGCGTTTTACTGAAACATATTAATCAAATAGTTTTATGTGAGTCGTGATCGTTATCAGCTATATAGGAAAAGTTAGTTCAGTTTTATACAAGTGAGAAAGTTTTAATTAGGGTAGTGGTATTTATGTTTGACAAAAGGATTCTTTCATTGCATTTTTGCAAATAAAAGCTGCTATTACGAGTATGTTTGGCTTTTTTGATCTATAATAAAGTTCATTTTTATTTGTTACTGTTTTTTAGAATCATATGACGAGAGAAGAGTAAATGGTAAGGTGAAGAGAAATGGTGGGGTTTTCCTACACTTATCAGTGTAGAGTAAGATAAAATTTTTTTTGGAATTTTAGATGGAAACTAATGGGGAAAATTTGAACTTGAAAACGATGAAGAGGCCGGACGGTTCATATCCGGTATGGCTAAGCCAACGGAGGATAAAGAAGATGAAGAGTAAACAAAAAATGAAGCAAAATGCGAAGAAAGGAAAAGCGCGAAGAATTCGCTGAATTTGCATATTTTTTGAACTTTGAGTTCTTTCAAATCGAGATGTTGACTTGTTTGTATCATTTTCAATAATTTCTCACTAATATGTTATTTATAAAACCCCTTGAATAAACTTATTTCTATGAAACTCGCAGGTGATTCATTTGAAAAGTTAATCAGTTCTCGATTGTTACAAATATTCTTAGCAGGATTAATGAAAATGCTTGATTTGTTAATTTTATAAATAGAAAATGCTAGGAAAACATTCCAGCTGCTGAAGTTTACCTTTGGTAAGAAATTGACGTAAATTTATTGTAAAAAATCACACCATTTTTCCCACTTCATGGAAAATTTCGTTTAAATTTCCTTATTACATTCCAAAAAAAAGGGTTGAACTATAGCTCAATTGCTTTGTTAGAAATTTGTTCGTCATTTAATTTGAAATACTTGGTTTGTACTTTATTACCTGTTTAATTATGCAATGTTTAGTACATTAATTAGAATATGAATTAATGACATATGCGTCCTAATTGCCATATATACAGACAAAAACACATACATACATGTACGTACGCACACGCATTACGTAATAAAGTAATGCCAGTTTGAAGTTTGAACCTTTGGTGATATAAACTATATATGGAGAATAATGTGATAATGCAACGGAAAGAGAATTAATAATTTGAAGATTCCTCCGTGATATGGTTAATGGAACTGCAGTAATTGCATAATCCAAATTGAGGGAGAATTAATTGTATTAATCTCTTCATTATCAAATATTGTAAACAGTCAAACGTACACGCATACAGTATGTGCATACCATACTGTATTTGTTTATTGTTCAAAATGTAGAAATTATGAAAGGAAATTGAAGTCAACCGCAAAATTTTTCATTAAATCATTATTATATATGATAAATTTAACAAATAATTGATACTATTATCTTTTCCAGTAGCTATGTTTTGTGAATATTGTAATATCTCATGATACTGTAATCTAATCATTTCCGATAGTTGTATGTTCCATATATTGTAATTTAATTTATCCTAAAATAATATCCAGGAATATCTTAATTGTGCATATATTGGAATGAGTTAAATGAGATTAGAATTAACAAAAAACAAAGTATGAAATAATAGTGAATATTTGTTCGTGTGTGTGTGTGTGTGTGTGTGTGTGTGTCTGTGGGCTAACAAAGTTTAATTTATATTTGAAATGGTGAATGTGGAATGAGGAGTGGAAGAGCTGTAAAGCAATGCTGCCAGCAGTAATAATACTGATGGATGATTGTGTGGATCGGTTTAGTTTGTGTTTATACAATGTACTCCTCCGGCATCCTCCTTTTCCTCCATCTTCTCTCCTACAATATTAATAGTTTCGCGGATGAAATTACAGCTAATGATACTAAGATATGGACAATCTACTATCCACATCAATTTAGTAGAAGTAAGTAAAGCTAATAATTATCATATCTTTTTCATTTTTCTCCTTTTATATTTATCATTTTCGCCTCTTTGATGATTAACTAATATCATAGTGAATATAATCGATGAATGATTTCTTCATTACCATCAAATTATTTGAAGCATTTTATATAAGAATTATTTATTCCTCATTGTAATAAATTGTAAACTGATTATTAATATTAAAAAAAATGAATAAATGACTTGTAATTTTCATTTTCTGGAAAATTAATGCTTTTATTTCTTACAATATTAATATTTTTTGCGAATGAACGAATTACTGATTTACTTATTTGTAAGTCCATTTATCAATTAGATATACATGGTTTTATCTGTTACTGAATGCGGAAGTGATGAAAGAAATGGTATAATCGCATATTAAGATTAAAAATTTAAAGCAATAAGTTTATTTTCTAGCAATGATAAATATATATTTGTGGTGATAAGTGATAGTGATAATGATAATAATAATGTGGTAGTAATATAGAAGCTTGAAATATTGTTTAATTATTCCACTGATTAGACTGCAAGCAATTTGTTTAATTCTTCTGATCTATGCCTTCTTCCTTCCTTCTTACTCTACCAAAGAGAAAAATGTTTTAGAATTTGCTTTAAATTAACTAGCGAAATGTGTTATGCTCTCCTTTGGTACTAATCGAGCCAACTGTTATCGCTTTAGTGATGAAAATAAATTTTCATATTAAGTTTCAATAACGATTCATTGAATAGTTAATGATCAATTCAATTCAAATCAGAGTTTGATGGGAATTATTTCAGATCAAAATTGTCATATCTTACAATGTTCAACCGATGAGCTATGCGTTGTAAGCGAAAAAACAGCGCGTTGCGTTAAAAATGATAAACTTCACGATGTGTATGTTCTAATTAAAATTTTATTTCTATAATTTCTTTGTTTACATCAATGGAAGAATATATTATTTTAATTATATTTTTGATGATTCATTTGTTGTCTGTAACAACGATGAGATGAATATTTGAAAACTTGAAATTTTAATAATAAATCATTAAATTGCTTAAATCGAAACATCAAATTAACAATGTTCATGTATCATATATACAAAAAAATACTGTTAATGTTAACATTGCCATATAGTCGAGATGAAATCATTATTATTATTTTTTAATTCCCTTTCAAATTACTCTATATTCTTTACATATAATTAATTATCCGTTTTTTTTGTTTTCTTCACTGCAGAAGTTTAATTTGGTTTCTTTTAATTATTTTATTTAGTTTAAATTTAATTTATTCGCGGAACGATGATAACGATAAGAACAGTAATTACATGCCAGAAATAATGATATTTTTTGCAGAGATGGTGTCCATATTGACTTTGCTAGCGGTAAACTAATCGATCATCATGCCGAGGTAATGTGATTATTGCTGTGAAATATTGAAATTTGACAATTTTTAATGCTTAACTATTAATTAATTAATTGTTCTAGCTTAGTTAGCATTTACAATTTATTAAATTCTAACTTTATAAAACATTTTCAGGAGACAAGCCATTATAGGGCAGGTCGAATGAAACAGCAGCATAAACATCAACACTTACCGCGACACTACGAACATGTCGAGACGACGAATTACAGTATTCATTAACTTTCTGTATTCTCAAGAATTATAAAACACGAATGAATTTCAAGCATGAAAATCCTGAGGTTTATGGAAGATCCAAAAATTTTGATCCATTCATATCAATTGAGAAATCTTTGAAATTTGCACTTCATTAACCGTGTCTACTTTTTACTGATCGATTTTCTCAACTTTTTTTTTTAGTTAGTTTTTGGTTCATCCTTTGAATTGGTTAATAATTCTAACTTATTTATTTCTTTTTCATATATGACATTTTCTTTCTTTTAATACTATACAAAAAAAAAAACGAAAAATAAAATATCAATAATCAAGAAATTTCCTAAATTTATATAGAGATAAAAAGAACTACGAAAAAAAAGATTCATTAGAAATATCCGAATACATTTGGGGTCATGAAACATCAGAAAATGAAATGACATATGAAAAGATTTTATGTGAGAAAAAATTCTTGATTGATACCTTATCGGATAACAGCATGCAGTTATTATCGCTTATTTATGCATATTTTCATATCACATCAAAGGAATGACAATAATGGGAAAATTAGCATTTTAATAATAAATGATATTGATAAATAAAGCAACAAAAAAACGAATAAGCAAATTTAATAATTTTTGTCATTTTCATATTTGATTTTTTATTTAATCAGTAAACATGATATTTTTCCCTTGTCATATGGGCAATGTTGAAAATGGACTATTATTATACAACGATATTGCAATATTCTTGATAATGATGATAGTGATAACAATAGCAATAATAGTGATAATAATAACACTAATAATAATAATGATAATAATAATAACAATAACAATAATAACAATGAAGTTTAAGATATTTCAATAAAAATAGGAAACTAAAAAATTAGTTGTTAGCGATAAAAATTTGTGATATGGAATTATTTATTTCTATATGTTATCATTTTACCCTTATTTTGTTTACAATTCATCTTCTTTACAGAATTTTTCATCCGTTCTTCACATTTAATTTATTCGAGAGAATAAATGCATTGAAATGTTTTCCGTTTCCACCGAATGAATAAATAAATAAATATTTACAGAATGTGACGAGAAAAAGCTGCACAGTGTTGGTGGACGATTATTGCAATGGTTCAGTGAAATGCATAAATTGGCTACTGTTGATTCCGGATTGCCATTGCACAGTACGTAATGCTTTCTTATCATTTTACAAAAAATGCTTAATAACGTATTTGATTTACTACTTCCTGTAAGATAATTAATTTTTATCAAAAAAAATAATGAAATAATTGAATTAACCTAGGAACAAATAAGCAATTTATCTCATTCAGGGACTTTTCTTTTGTGTGGAAATTTTAATTTTATAGTTGTTCTGGGTAAATTTGAATTACAGTACTAGGTTAAAAATGCAATGAAGGATTTTTGTGCAAAGTTAACAGTACAAGGGCTTAAAAGGAATAATTCATGTACGATACACCCCTTTATTTATTTTTACCTTTTCTTTTTTAATTAGAAGAAAACCAAAAAGAAAAAGATTACCTCATAAGATGGTGGAGGATCATTTGCACATCCTTCTTCAATCTGTTTTTCTCCCATATCCTTTGATTCTGCTGTGATTTTTATTATATACCTAAATAAAATAAAAATTTTTGCAAAAATTTTTTCTAGTGAACAAATTTTTATTTCAATTTTAATTTGAATTTTCATTTTTCAAAAATTCCCTTTCTTTCTATATATTATAAAAGTTGTATAGTAGTTGAAACAGTAATAATAATAGTGATAATAATATGATGAAAATAATTATGATATTATTCCACAGATGATGGTAAGTTTCATGGTTTGCGCTGATGGCACCCTACTGATTTTTATGTCCTCATTGACCTTCTTCGGTCTTTTCTTTAGCATTCTCTTGGGAAATTGAGCTTTGCAAATTTTAGTTGTGATTTATTACAGTTTATGTATGTATGCATGCATGCATGTATGCATCAGCAACCCTCACTCTTCCATAATTGATCACAAAATGCATGACAAAAGAATATAAAATCAGGATTACCAAGATAATCAGGTCAACGCCGCATGTGTTTGTTGCTGATGTTATAGTTTCACTTAATTTAAACTTAAATTAAATACTATTAAGTACTAAAGCCTAACTGGAAAGTAGGTTTGATTGATGAGGAAAACATTATCAGCTACCAAAATATGATATTTGAACTATTTTTTATTTTTGCTAATTAAATGATCTTTTGGGAAAATAACAGAAAAGAAAAATTAATTAATATATATGAAAATGATAGCATTCATCTAAAACTTCTGCTTCCCAATAGCAATAATTGTGAAAGTAAGTATTATTCGATTATTATTTTATAATTTTTCTAACATTTTAGCAGTAAAGATGAGTTACAATAGAAAGTATAAAGAAATAATCGAATGATTAACTTATTAAAATTTATATGACATTTAACTTTAGATTACGACAATCAAAAAAACATTGTGATGATGGCATTACTTATTGATTAACACTATTTTTCTCTTTCTCTACTTGTCTTCTAATGTTAATTTTAAATAAAATGAATAGCAATATTTACAATAGTATTAAAATCTTTTAAGAGAAAAATTTCTTAAAATTTGATTAAATTATACTGCTATGCTATAACCTATTAATTATTCAGAGCACAATAATTTTCTTTTTATTATTTTTTTGTAGTTCTGATTACAGAATGGTTACATTCAGAACATAGCGCTATGAATTAATTAAGTCACATCATTATAGAAAGATTTAATTACTAAAATTTTCTCAAATGGATTTCTAAAATTTGGTCTTTGAAAGTGAATTTATTAATACCCAAATAATTTAAATATTGTATTTTCAAATGATTCCCTAGCTAAGATAAATTTTACCGAAAAAAAAGGTAAAATTTGATTGGGACTTTCTTTCCTTTTTTCTCCTTTTAGATTTTTCAATCTCCTTTTTCGTAATTTTACAGCAATCTAAACGATGACCTTCTACCTTCATTTCTCTTATAATAGAGCGGTACATATCAAAGGACTAAATACGTACATGTAAATTTGTATAATATAAGGCATCGTTAATTTCAAGCAAAGAAAACTTATGTTTCGGAAAAAATTAAAATTTTTAAAAACCACGACATTCTACTGTAACAATTTCTATTATCGGAAACTTCTCTCTCCTTCGTTCAGTCTTTTTATGCTAGAAATCGTTGAACAAATTTGATAATCATACAATGCTTGAAAAAGTTAGGAAAGAAAGGATGTTAAAAATAGTACTTTTCTTAATACAATTATAACTTTGATAACAATTAGTTTAGAATTTCAAATTAATCTTTCTTAGCAAATAATGAAGAACTGTTAGCATTTTTTTTTTGTTTCCCTGTGCTAATTGTTATAAGAAGCAAAATTTACTTTTGAAATATTTGGAAAAATGAAGAATTAAAATGTAGTGATGGAATATTGTTATGATTTATAACGAATTAATTAGGTTATATAAATTAACTAACAAATAAATGATTGCAAAAAAATACGACTAAATTAATAGTTGCTAAATTAAACTAATTAATGTGCTTTATTTTCAATTTAATAATATATTTTACCATTTAATATTTTATTACAAATAGTATAAACAATACAAAAGAAAGGATTAATTTAAAATTAAATTAAAAAAGTAGTAACCTGAAGACGAAATAAAGGAATATAAAGAAGGCAACCGTTCCAAATAAACCATTACATACAGAATATAATAATATTTCGGTTTGTGTCAAATATATTCCTCCGTCTTTTTGATTGTTTACTTTTAAAAATGCTTCCGTTTGTTGTTGCATTCCAAATTTTTCCTTTCTTCTCTTTTCACCTTTCTTCTATTATTAGCACCAATTTTTTGAGAAAAATTTGAAATTTGGATGAGATGTATTCCAAAGCATAAAAGATTTCT